GAAAAAAAAAAAAAAAAGAAAAAGAATAGAAAAAAAAAATGAAAAAAAAAAAAAAAAGAAAATAGAGAGAAAGTAACGATCTCGATGATCCTTGCTTTGGGAGAGGAGCGTTCAGTCGTGAGACACAGAGCATTAAAGAATTATCTAAGGTTAGCTGTTAAGTGGACGAAACAAAAAAGGTGAAAGATTTAAAAAGAATAAAAAAACAAAAACGTGACACAACATATGACACAGGTGACAAGATACAAGGAAACAAGATACGCATACACGTGCATAAACATTTTACATTTAAACGTTCACACACGACGTAGCGTGTTAGACTATCGTGTAGTAGTCCCCTTATCCCCTACCCCTTTCTAATTAAGCCTCCAGATCTTAACGAGTACTATTACGTATAGTTGAACTCGACAATCACTCGACTCTCTGTATTGATAATTCTCGAGGGGAGGAAACAAAAGAGGATAAGGAAAAAAAAAAAAAAGAAGGAAAGATAGAAAGGAAAAGCAAGAGTGGAAAAGGAAAAAAAAAAAAAAATAAAAGGAATAAAAAAAAAAAAGAAAAAAGGGTATCCCTGAGTCGTTGGAAAAAGCTGCTACTATTCTTGAGAAAATTGTTATTTCAAGTATCTGCTAGGATTTTTTCGAGTTCACTATCTATTTCTACTTCTTTTTCCTTCTTCGAACAACATTCTTCTCGCCTTTCTCAACGTCACTTTATAGGAAAGTGGGAATTCTCTTTCGTTGCGCCACTTTTTTACGTTCCTTTCTGTGAGAGTTTCTCTTTTGAATTTGACCCTTTTCTTATTTTCTTAGAAGTTCTTCCAATCTTTCTACAATTGTCAATTGAGAATGGAAAATAGTATTGTGCGATCAGACCTCAAGTCAATAAGAAGAAGAATTTTTCTGAATGGAAATGAGCGAATATAGCGAAATGTTAAGCTAATAATAGAATGCGTTTTATATATATAATTAAAAAAAAAAAAAGAAAAAAAGAAAAAAAAAGGACAAAAAGTGTGGAGATGTATGGAATATATCCTCTTCACGTGTTTAAAAGTTTTATCAAAATGAAAGAATAGAAGGGAAGAAATAGAATAGATCGTGTAAGAGATTTTTTTTTTCTTTTTCACGTGGAAGATATAATCTTTATACGATAATACGAATTTCCGTTTGCAAGAAAAGTGACAAATGAACGGAACAAACTGCATCCTTTCCAAAGAAAGTGAAGAAAAATAAGAATCACGATCAAAATCAAAAATATAAAAATGACGTTAAAAAATGAAGGAATTAATTATTTCTAATTCGATCGGAAGAACTTCTAATCCTTGCTTAGTGAGAAGAGAAAAGTGATTTAATAAGGAAGAGAAATATATCGAGTAAAATATCGATTGAAAATCTTTTTTCGTTCGAAACAGAATTTTGCTAGAATTGTTATCAAAAGTATCACGAGAGAGACGATCAAGGGAATCGGAATCGTGGGCCAGGAATTGCGTTGCAAGTCACAATCAGCTCGCGAGACAAATCAATTTTTGCTTTTTTCTACACGGAGATATATACACGTAGTAAGATACCGCGATGGATTATTCGCGATTTGTCCGAGCGAGCGC